ATGTAAACATGGCCACAACTGTGACAAATAACTAGAAATGATCTGTGACTGTTTGGTACTCTAAATTATGACAGCATTCACTTGAGATAAATAGCCAAGAGGAATCTTTTAAATTCTCCCTAATTCAGTCCGTCTTCTCTTGGGGAGCACAGGAACTTCATCAATAGTTTGATTAGTAATATACTAATATAATCTCCTAAGAAGTCTCAAGTCACTTTTCCGTAGAGAGTGTCAGTGGACATGTGACATTAATGATGCTATTTATAACTACTGACTTTCAAGAAGGTAAGTCTGCTGATGTATAATTCATCGTGACATTTTTCAGGCAATTATAGACAATTTCTTATTGCTCAAATACAACATTAGGGGATAAAGACAGTCCTGTAATGCCATTTTCCACTGAAAAGCATCATTAAATATATTACCATGCCAGCAAATGAAGTGCATTTGTAATTCTATTCAACAAACAAGAGCCTTCAACATGGAAAACTTGAATAGTATGCCATACTTGCTGTGATAGCTTATCCACCATATATAGACACATATATGCATACACACATATAAACAAGAGTGTAACACACACACACACATACACACTACAATAATCCTATACAATAAAAAGCTAATATGCAAATCAACCGAATGGCAGAACAACCGGTCTCCATGACACGCACTGACCACCAGAGAGCAAATGCTCAATGCAGCCAGGCTCAAGGCTGGTGACTGCAGCAGCAGTGCAATGGATGTCCGACTGCTGAGTGGGCCTAAGCCTTTAGACAGACATCCCCTGAGGGTTCCCAGACTGCAAGAGGGAGCAGGCTGGGCTAAGGGACGCCCCCACAAGTACAGGAATTTTCATGTACTGGGCCTCTAGTAGTAGTTATAAGTCTGAAGCACATTATGTTCAAAGGACTGCTCTGATTTGCAAACTTTTGTTCATTTAAAACCCACAACAACCCTACAAAGGTGGCATTTTAAAATATATATATATTTTATTGATTTTTTACAGAGAAGAAGAGAGAGGGATAGAGAGTTAGAAACATCGATGAGAGAGAATCATCGATCAGCTGCCTCTTGCACATCCCCTACTGGGGATGTGCCCACAACCAAGGTACATGCCCTTGACCGGAATCGAACCCGGGACCTTTCTGCAGGCCGACGCTCTATCCACTGAGCCAAACCAGTTTCGGCCAAAGGTGGCATTTTAACTCTCATTTTTTAGGTGCAGAAACTGAGGCTATGATAAATTAAGTAAACTGACAATTTCTGTGTAACTAATAAGTGTTGGCACAGGGGTTTGAAAGCAAGAGCCTACTGGACTTTAAAGACACGCCTTGCCCATTGTGCTTGCCCAGGCCCTGCTTCTCAGTGGAAGTCTTGCCAGTGGGCTGCGAGGGCAGCAGGGAAGCACCTGGCGCCTGGAAGGCAGGCGACAAAGTTGAACTTCACCTACTTCCCACTCACGCCGTGTCTGTGTGGTTACTCACAAGTATTTCTCATCAACTAAAAGACTGCGTTTACTAATTCCTTCAGGATCCAATGGTTCTACTAAATTCTGTGATTCTTAGAAAGCCATTGTGCATCCCCTGGTGCCAAAAAGACATGCTTTTCTAATAAGTGGCAGCTCCACATAAAAAATGCAAAACTTGAGGACTGAGTCTGGTAAGACATGTTCATGCACAAACCCTGACTGTGTTCCTGCTCTGAATGCAGAAGTGAATGAAGCTGGACCTCTGCTCTGAAGGGTATAGATATACAGACCTCATATGGGTTTTGCAATTATTTGCAATGTAGTTTTGCAGAGTGTATTTTTCTACAATGCATTTACTGAGAGGAGAATTTTGACCATTTTCATGCCAACTCGGTCAAAATGAGAACGTTAGATATTTATAATGGTAAAATATATAAATGTAACCCAAATATCCAGAGTTGAGAGGTTGGATTAATAAGCTGTTATGACTCTATAATGCAATATTACATAAAAATGATGTATTAATAATATATTTATATCATGGAATAAAAAAATCCATAAAAATATGTATGTAGTACAATTTCATTTCTGTGAGAAATAAGAATATATTTTTAAGGAAAAGGTCTGGAAGGATATTCACCAAAATCCTCATAGCAATTATCTTTGGGTGGTGACATTATAAAATGTTTTTATTTTCTTCTGTGTGTTTATCTACATTTTCTGATTTTAAAAAAATATGTATTTTAATAAAAACTTACTTTCAGATGAAATATAATAAAAATTAAGTGCTGAACATAAATGCAAACCTCAATTCTTATTCTCAAATTCAGTTCAAGAAAGTAGACAGGAAGTAGTGTATCAATTAAGAAAACAACCATCACAGGGATATGCACAAAGTAATTGATAATAGGAGCTTATTGAACACCATTACTAATGATGGAACAAGCAAGAATTCAGTTGTTACCGTCTGTAGAAAAAATGAAATACTATTTTTGAAAAGTTTCATGTCATTAAGGTAATCAGTTTTTATGATGAATTCATATAGGCAGACATCATGTTCCCTTCTAAATATAAAGCATAATGGAGAAAGTTTTGGAAGTCTTTAAAATCAAGAAGACCTGGGTTCAAATACTCATTCAGTACTTTATAGTTCTGTGAACTTGGACAACCCACTTTATATCATCTTTTCAAACTGGAAAATAAGGCCAATGTTTGGTTGCACACACTAATTCACACCATACAGGATAGATTGTTGTTTTTATAGATTACTTTGGTCTTCATCACTTAACTGTGGAAACAACAATGTTCCACATTAAATCAGAACTATATATGCGTGGACATGTTAAATGGTGCAATAGACCTGCCCTACTTGCATTCTGTGGAGATGAACTCTTTTAGTCATTTGGTAGATGTCTGGTGAATAAGACTTGGATGTTAGCTCAGCAATAGAGGTGAAGAGGTGAGACACTTAGCGACTTCTTTCATGAGTAAACAGACAATTATCATTCTATGCCAACTGCTATGAGGTGTGGATGCGCAGAAAATAGGCACACCTGGGCCCATCACACAACGTCAGATGCACATAATTTATCTTGTACTCTGTGGGTACAGCACCTCCACCAGCGCACAATCCTGTGCCCCGGTCAGAGCTAGACTTGGTGGGGATGGAGGTGGAGTCAGAGTGGCTCTCCAGTGGATGCAACCATCTACTTGGTCTTGAAGAATGAGAAGACCAGTGAGTGAAGACAGTGGGGAAGAACATACCACGGACAGGAAAGAACATGTGTAAGTGCAACTTAGGAGACAGGGTCTGCACTCTTCAGAATGAAAGGAGGAAGCTGGGTGGGGAACAGAATGCCCTGAGACTACCGTAAAATGGCAAATGGTATGGAAGGGTTTCAATAAAATATAAAAGTACATGACAGAAATACATTTATTTAAAAATTTTTATTTGGTCATTTGCATTTTTAGAAGAGGAAATGGTTAAATCTCGCTTCTTTTTTCTAATCAATTGTCTATTATTTACCAGACAGGATCTTATAGTATTTAGTGCTGCTAGTAGAAATATAATTAAATTTCCTCACTTTGGGGCAATTTAATTTGAAACTTAATGTAACATTAAATGCAGCTATTCATCATTGCTGTCTTGTGCTGGATTTTTTTTCTTGTTTGGTTAAAGCATAAACAATGCTCACAAATAGCACATTAAAACATGCCATTTTAATGCCTACTCTTCAAAAGCAGATGATTATGAAATTAATGTTATACATGGCCAAAAATTCATTGCAGGACTGAGATCAAAGAAGACCATGTCCTTGAAAAGGTTTTAAGTCCCTTAAGGCCACTTAAGCTATTTCCTTCTTGAACTAGTCCATTCAAAGGGTGAAATAAAAAGGACAAGTCAGTAGATGTAACCGATTGTATCCTCTGGGCATTTCCAAAGGCTGCAGCTGCTGGGCTGGCTTCAAAAGACTCAGAAGTCACTGAGGAGATGTTCCCCTGAGTCTTCTCCATTGCCTGTCAAGTCATTTCTCCCCCCAAAGAAGGCAACTGGGGAAAAGACTCACTTTTTATTCATTACTTAGTGGCCCTGCACACACAAATCTGTGCGCAAATAGCTTGCTGCCACTTGCCTCAGCTGGCTGCCCCGCCCCGCACTGCTGTAGCTCTCCCTGCACATAGCTCACTGCCCCACCCTTCTGTAGCTCTCTGTGGCTGGTAGCTCTTTGCCCTGCCCTCCTGGTGATTGGTCCTTACACATCACGATGTAACGACCGACCGTTTGTATGTTGCCTCTTTATTATATAGGATAATTCAGCGCATTTAGTTTCCATTTCTACTAGGCAATAGCTCTTCTCCAGGAGCTGCTGACACTAAAAACCCAACTATATGGTGACAAAAGATTTGACTTTTGGTGGTGGGCACTCAATGCAGTATCTTAGAAATGTACCCTACATCATCTTCTTAACCAATGCCAACCCAATAAATTTATTTTAAAAATACTTGTTGAAACAAATGATTGATCTACCTCAAAAACAAACAAACAAACAAACAAACAAACAACAAACAAAATAAAACCACCTGTCAAGGCTCAGCTCAAATGTACTTCTCTCACAGGGGTTCCCTGATCACCCAACCGGATGTGATCTCCCCATGCTCTGAATACCTTGGCTGTTTATTCACTTCTCTTTCATAGCTCTTAAAACAGACAAATTCCATCAAGTGAATTCAGAGATGTGTCTGAAGCTTTGCCATCTATTGCTGTGTGTTCTAGAAAAAATCACTGCCTTATTGAATCTCACCGTTTTTCATCTGCAAAATGGAAATATCCAAGTGCGAAAGAACAGATATTTTAAGTTGCCATTTTATAAATGTGGTAACTGAGATTTAGAGAAATTAAATTGTTTGTTTAAAGCTACAAAGTTAATAATAAAAATATTTCTAGGAATTGTTGTTTTCCATCGTACCACAATTATCTTCTACAACACTGAATCTGTGAGTTGTAGAAAAATCATATTTCAATACATACCCGCTTCATGAATCTCTTCCTTTCCAGTATAAGAGGTAAACACCTGCCTAGAAAACTTGTACTGTTGTTCTCGAAAATTATTTTGTAAGTACTCCATCAGCATGACATAACCAGACTGTTGCATGGTGAGAACTTCACAAAAAACAGCCAACTAAAAAGAGAATGTAACATGTACATTAACATTCCTGCTCCACAGGCATCAGCAAATGCTCTAAAACATACTCTGTAGTGAAGCTTAGAAAATTATTTTTTCAAATTACTTCATTCATTTGAATTTCTAATATTACCTGGCTTTCAGAGATGCTAACTGTATCTTTAAAAACAATCCAGTCAACGGTGTCCGTGCAGGGAGGGGAGGTCAGCGAGCCGTTGTAGGTGTAATACTTGTCGGTTGAGTTTGGCAGAAGAGTCAGCAATATGAAAGGATCTAATGCCGCCTGTTTCCCTGCAAAGTAATCACATATGTCTCAGCTGGCATCCCAACTCTGCAACTTAGCTGTTCAAAACTTCTATGAAACAGAAACATATGCCTTGACATCTATTTAATCAGAAGTGAAAATTTGAGAACAGTTTGGATCTACTTTTTAAATGGCAATAAAACTGGCATATACAATACATAACTTTCTTACATATATCACTACATAGTGTTAGATGCTTCATCTTTACACCAGGAAGATGCTAGAAAGATTATTATACATATAAAAGATATTCATAAATTATATGACCATTTTAATAAATACAGAAAAATTATTTGATAAGATTCAATACACTTAGTGGAAAACAAAAACAAAAGCTTCTTCTGATGATTATCTTCAAAAGTCCATCCTATATAATAGAGGTAATATGCCAATTGACCCTCATAAGATGGTTGCCTACAACCAGGCCAGCAGGGGAGTTAGTGAGGGATGACCAAATGATTGAACTGCAGGCTGCTTGGAGCGACCAGGCTAGTGGGGTAGCCATGGGGAGGTGACCAGGATGGCAGGGTGGGGCAGTTAGGGGTGACCAGGCCAGCAGGGAGGGACAGTAAGAGGCAACCAGGCTGGTGGGGAGGGCAGTTAGGGACAACCAGGCCAGCAGGGGGGGGGCAGTTAGGGGTGACCAGGCCAGTAGGGATGTGCAGTTGGAGGTAATCAGGCTGGCAGAGGGGGCACTATGGGGCGGCCAAGTCAACAAGGGGGGGCAGTTAGGGGCAATCAGGCAGGCAGGCAGGCAGGTGAGCAGTTAGGAGCCGGTGGACCCGGATTGTGAGAGGGACTGCTGGTTTAGTCCCAATCCCTGGGATCAGGCTGAAACCAGCAGTTGGACATCCCCCGAGGGGTCCTGATTGGAGAAGGTGTAGGCTGGGCTAAGGGGACCCCCTACCACCATGTATAAATTTCATGCACCAGGTCTCTAGTATGTATATAAATACACATACATGTATAGTACAATAATAAATATTGATTTAACTTCCTAGATATATAAGAATATAGGACTTTTATTCAAAACAGAGAACCCCTCCCTCCTCCTTCCCCCCCCCCCCCAAAAAAAAATGGGTAGAGTTTTCCTAAGTATTTCATCTGATCTTAAAATCCTGAAACAATCTGGCTTTCCTGGCTCCTTGAATAGTCCCATTTTTGTTTCTGCATTTTCCCAGTAGCATGTCCCAGTAGCACGACCACTGCCTTGGGCGTTTTGTGTGCCATCCCTCACTCATGCAGGAAGCAATCTCCCAGTGAGATCTGTGTATAACTCATTCTCCCACCCAACTGATTTTTGTAATAATGTAAAAATTCATAAGTACCCCAAGCAGAATCTAGAAGATGTCTCCAAATAGCTTACTTACCAAAACGACCAACTTTCTCGACTCCATCAATAATTGCTTTGTAATCCAAATTTTCCTCTATTCCAATCTGTTAAAGAAGAATGATATTCTAAAAATGGGAGGAACTATTTGATTAAGTGTTCACTAAAATGTTAAGATTAGTGATTTGCATTTTAAGTAGTCAAAAGTAATGTTCTCTAAATTGCTCACTTTTTTCCACAGCAAGGTACAAACAAATGCAACATAAACCTTTTAAATCTCTTCAACTTCCCACCAAGAGAAGTACATTTTAAAATGTCATGACTCACAGTCTCTGCTATATCATTACGACATTTCGCCTATACAAAGAGGCAAATTGGTGCTCTCAGAACATACGGTTCAAGCTGGCAGGCAGTGAGGTACCCAACAAATGAGTCCAAGAGGCCCTTTCAACTTCCCAGCCAAGAGGTGGTTCTCCCAGTTAGCATTCTACTTGTGAGCTTTTCTACTCGTTCCAAAGAATGTTTTGATATTTCACGTCCATATTTCATGTGATTCAAAAATTGAGTTAGCGTTAAATCTAAGTATAATGATTACCTCAAATAAAATAGATAATGCTCTTATCTTCCCTTTTCCTTTAACTGCTTCTTCAAAGCTGGAGAATTGGTCCACATCGAAGCAGTAGATTTGCATCTGTAAATGTAACAATGACGGCTTTAGTATAAAGAAAGGCTTCATAAAAGTGAGCAAAGAGACAATAAAATGATCTACCAATTCAATCACTTCTACCTGAAAAATTTTCTAAACTGTATAATTCTGTACTCTGCATATTTAAAAATAATTTTTCAATTTTGTGTACTAGTATACATAACTGCATTTACTATCATTTCTCATCCTGCAATGAGGAAGGAAACACAAGTTAGAGATACCTGTAACTGAAATGACACACTGAGATTACCAGGTGGCATTAAAGTAATAATTTTCTAGAACAATTATCAAATGCAATAAATGATCAAATGTTATTTAAACTGGTATTCTTTCAAATACAGTTTCATTCCTTTTTGACTGGACATGCCTTTCTTGATGGTCTGAGGGTTAGTATTTTTGAACTTTGTCTTCCACTCTATGAATTGTGAAATTCTTAAGGACTTTATTTCCACCTAAAAAATGCTAGGAGTTTTAATTTCTTGTTTTGTCTTCTCTCCGGGTATGAGGCTACACCTTGTTAATTTCTACTTTAGCCTATATAGCTGTAGATAGATTCTAGTCTCACTTATAATTTGGTGATCCTCATGCTGTGGGCTTGGGAATAAGGTAACTCAGTTTAGAACATAATTAAGGAAAGAACAGAAAGCATCTGAGAAGGTTAATGTGCAGTAGGGCTGTGATCAGAGAAATGTGTGAAGCAGGGGGTGGCAGTGGCTCCTGTCTTGAGTGATCCCCAAAGCCTTTCAAAGAGAGAATTTCTAAGCTGAACCCAAAAGGATGAGAAGCTTTTAAGCTCAGAGCTGAAAAGGCAGAAAGATGAGCTTGTGTTCAAGTTAGAGGGACCAGCTTGGGAAAGGCCAACAGGCAAGCAAATATGAGAAGTGGAGGAAATGGGAAGAAATGGGTGGTGATTTCAGCTGAGCATATATGATGGAGAGGAGAGGTGAAGCTGGAGACGTAGGCAGGGGGCACACCAGGAAGATATGTGATGCTGTCACAGCATGCAGTTTGGTCTTGAGAGCAATGACAAATCCTGATGCGTTTCATCTAACAGGGTGGGGAAGGAGCAGGATGGGGGTAGGAGAAAGGGGAACGTGGAAGACATTAAGACTAGAGAGAAGGAGACCAGTTCAACATTCGAAGTAAGAGACAAAGGTGGTTTAAATTTTTATCTGATCTCCCACTTCATTTAGGGGCAGAATGGAGAAGATCTGTCTGTAGCAATACAGAAAGACCAGAAAAACAGAACAAGTCCAGGATGCCCCTCAGTTTCCTATTTGCAAAATGATATGAAGAGAGTTTACACAAGCAAACATCAAACAAACAATACCACTGAGAGAACACTCTAGGGCCTTTTCAAATAAGAAAAATATATGAAGGTTAGTGCACAGACTCTCTACTGTTTATTTTGCTGGTTCAGGACTTCTGTTGTTGTCAGAGTTTTTCTTGACTTTTAAAAAAATTTTATTGAATTTCCTGATGTGACATTGGTTAATAAAATTATATAGGTTTCAAGTGTATACTTCTATAATACATCATCTGTACCCTATATTGATTTTCATCTCTGTTCTAAATAATATTGTGAGAGCACTAAACTCTCAGAAATGAGAATGTTATGTGTGTTTAATGTATTTACTTTTCTTTCACAAACCAAATTTGATATTGTATTTTCTTTAAGAATAGTTAATATATCTATATATATAAAACCCTAATATGCAAATAGACAGAATGGTGGAATCGAACAACTGGTCGCTCTGTCATGTGTTAACCACCAGGGGGTGCACATGGAACATGGTGGGGTCACCTGTGGCAGGACTGTGGAGCAGGTAAGCACCTTCCCCTGCTTCTGAGACGTGAATGGGGCAGCAGCCACCGCTCACACCCACTGCTGGTGCCAGCCCCAATCCTTCCATGCTGTTGCAGGTGCAATCAGGGCCGGCACTATCAGCGCATGGAAGTGGCGGTGGTGTTAGTGGTGCTGATGGCAGACAGAGAACCGGGGGTTGCAGTGAGAGGGGCTGGGCAGGGGTATGGAGGATGGGCCGAGACCTGCTCTTGTGCCCACCACAGCCTTATGGCCCACAGTTCCTTTCAAGGTGCACAAATTCATGCACTGGGCCCTAGTTTAAAAATAAATTTCAAGCGATAAATCTGAATGTGCTTATCCGCATTAAAAATGATCTTTAGTCCTTTAAAAGATCATTTATGCTAGTCTTATTGTTATTATCAATATATATTTTGGATTATAAATTCATAGTTTCATTATAAGTAATTTAGAAAACATGGGAATTTTAAAGAAGGCACCTATATGCCATCACAAAGGGAAAAATCATTGTTAATGTTTTCTTAATTTCCCTCATTTATTTTTATATTAGTAATAATCAATCTTCTCCTTTAATCTCATAATAATTGCATAAGATAGCTGTTACTACTATTATATTAATTTCACAGAAGAGAACTGGAAGCTTAGGTAAAGTAAATAATTTCTACAATGTCATGTCTTTAACTAATAACTAAAGTAACAATAATGTGTACAATGTTGTGTCTTTAATAATTAAATGGTGAAATCCATATTGAAACTTAGTGATTCAAACTTACTCTGTCACTAGTTTTCATATTTCACAAAATTGAAATAATGCCATGTTCACCATTTTCTTTTCTTTTTTAAAAGCATTAATATCTTTAGCCGAAACCGGTTTGGCTCAGTGGATAGAGCGTTGGCTTGGGGACTGAAGGGTCCCGGGTTCGATTCCGGTCAAGGGCATGTACCTTGGTTGCGGGCATATCCCCAGTAGGGGGTGTGCAAGAGGCAGCTGATTGATGACTCTCTCTCATCGATGTTTCTGGCTCTCTATTTCTCTCCCTTCCTCTCTGTACAAAAATTAATAAAATATATTTAAAAAAAATAAAAAATTAAAAGCATTAATATCTTTAAAAAGTAAAAAGCATTACTATCTATGGTAATATCTTATGATGAACCATCTTTGTGTAAATCATACAAGAATATTATTTTTACAAGATATATAATATCCCATCATAATGTATTTAATCAATTTCTTTTGTTTCAACTTTTTATTACTGTAAAAACTCTTTGCACATACATTTTTTAGTATATCTATAATTATATTTTATTTTTTATTTCATTTTATATTTTATTGATTCTTTACAGAGCGGAAGGGAGAGGGATAGAAAGTTAGAAACATCAATGAGAGAGAAACATTGATCAGCTGCCTCCTGGGATGTGCCCCCAACCAAGGTACATGTCCTTGACTGGAAACAAACCTGGGATCCTTCAGTCCACAGGCTGACGCTCTATCCCCTGAGCCAAACTGGTTAGGGCTAATTATATTTTAGATTAAATTGTTACAAATTGAAATGATAGATATTGACAATAAGCTTATTAAAGCTCTTGATAAAAATAGCAAAGTGCATCCAGAAAGTCTACGAATTTATACTCTCTAGACATGTATAAAAGTATTTATTTCATCCCACATTTATGATTTATTATAATTATATTTATCTTGCCAATTTTAAAGCTGAAATTTTTTTCTCATTTTACTTTGCATTTCTTTGATTCTCCAGTATAATGATGAAGTCCCCTTATGCCCTTATTTTTTCCCCTACAGGGATATGAAAAAATTTCATTTATTCATTTACTCATAACCATTTATCATCAATAATGTGACATTCTGGGTTACCAGGAAGTGAAAAACTAAATTTGGGTATTATTTAACTTAGTCTGGTAAGGAAGACAGATATTAACAAAGCAAACAAAATATAGCTGCACAAATTATAACACTTGATAACAAATTAATATAATAGTATGCTTAATAAAATCTCAATGAATAGAGGAAAGAATCAGAGGGAAATCAAAGGAGAATAATTAGGGGGATCGTAGGATGGCTGTGCATGGATGCAGAGGGCGACCAGTCCAGATTGTAGCACCAGCAGAACTATTGACTTACCTCAAGTGGAAATTTTTGTCCTTCCAAACTATGTTCTGATCCATCGGAAGACATGTTGCATTTTCCCCAGTGAAAAGTGATCTTGCTTGCTTTGAACACCGTTTCTGAAACTCCTCCAACGAGCTGGTAGTCATTAGTGAGATTAATTTCCACTAAAAACACATACATAGACAAAAATGAAACTGCATTTAAATTTCTAAAAATCAAAATTACAAATTTCAAGTAAATTTTTCTCCTATTACAGGTACATTAAAAATAATGTCTTTGATTAATTAAAAAAAATAAGTTGCCATTTTGGAAGCTGAACTGTAACTCTGCACAATATAATCAACATGTCTTATTGCCTAAAATGTAAACTAACTGGAAGACCTTAAGTGCTGTGGGACCCTTTAGCAGACGACAGCCAGCCAGTCCACCTGCCCTGCTTCTCTGGTGTCCTGAGGTGGCCCTTACCCCAAAGGCATGTGACAGTGAGAGGACAGAGTGAAGGAAGAAGGAACAGAAGAGTGGACAGGAGAAAAGTCTTCCCTTGGGAGTGCTCCCCACCTCCTCACGTTCAGCTCATTTCTACTCATTACCAGGCTGCTGTTTCTGTCTCCCCTTCGTACCCCTCCATGTATCACCCCAGGCTTCGTCAAGCTGTGTCTCAGGCTGCGGCAAGGCAGGTGGAAACCCAGAACCATTGAGAGGTTTTAGCCATCTCATGTTTGAATCCTGAGCGACAACTTTCAGAATCTTAAAATCTCTTAATTTGAGTTCCATATCAGATATCATCTGACAGTATTTTAAGAGTTGTCTGGAGATTAAGGATTCTCTTGAGAGCTTAATATATGATGGTGAAATCTCTCAATGAGATTTAAACAGTTTTTGTTCCGTGAGGCAGACACCACTGTTGGCATTAGGGACTTAATCCAACATGCTGGTACAACCAACTGGAGATATATAAACTTCCATTAATAACAACTATAATAACAATACAATAACAATAATGGTCAACATTCTTTTTTATTACTTACAGTGTGCTGTGTATTACACTAATTTACATGTATTAAATATTTGCTACTCACACATCCTAGGAAGGAGGAGACATAATTATTATCCTATTTTAAGGATAAGGAAATTGAGTCACAGAGAGTAACCTGATCAAGATTTAATGCTGTATTTAAAAAAAAGTATATTTTTTTAAATTGATTTCAGAGAGGAAAAGAGAGGGAAAGAGAGATAGAAATATCAATGATGAAAGAAAATCATTGATCGGCTGCCTCCTGCATGCCCCCCACTGGGGATCAAGCCACAACTCGGGCATGTGCTCTGACTGGGAATTGAATATGACCTCCTGGTTCATAGGTCGACACTCAATCACTGAACCACACTTGCTGAGCTTAATGCTGTACTTTAAAAGTCAGTAGTAAACTCACAACTGCCCTGTGCCCAAGGGTCGGGGGTGGGGGTGACTGGAAAAAGAAAGTGAAGGGATCAGCTAAAGAAAATATATGCATACCCCATGGACCCCGTCTATAATTTGGTGGAGGCCCAGGAAGGGGGAGATGGGGTGGGTGCAGGTGGAAAAGTGGGGGAGAGGGAAAGAACACCTGATATAATGTCAACATTAAACATTTTTAGTAAAAAATTGCAAAAATAACTAAACAGGAATGGCTCTAAAGATCAAGTATTGGCTGCACTCCACTGAGAAAATACAGCAGAGGACATGCCTCATGGCTTCATAACAGCCTTCAAAGCTGGTGCTTGAAAGTTTGGAAATGGTGGCAGAGTAAGTTGAAGCTACACTGATATTCTCCCACCAAACTGTATTTTCAACTAAAATACAGAAAAACCACCCTGAATAATCAACTGAGGACTAGCTGCATAGAATCCTGATAAGCAAGGATGGAAAGTGGAGGTGGCATAAGACTGGTAGGAAGTGCAGAGATGGGAGAGGGCTGGCCAGGCACCTACAGGCAGCAGCTGGAGTTCCAGAGGGACGCCTAGCTAGGGAGGCTTCTCACGAAGAACTCTGGGGTCTAAACCCCAAGCTGGGCTCTGCAGCTCAGAGCAGCATAACTGGGAAAGGTTTCCACAGAACACCTGGCTGTGAAAAGCACAGGGCTGTGGTCTACCAGGGGAAAATGGCTGGAATGCAGGCACCCTTAAAATATTAGCAAATTGGATCCAGCAATATGTTATTAAAAAGATCATACACCATGACCGAGTGGGACTTATTTCAGGGATGCAAGGCTGGTACATTATTTGCAAAACAATAAACTTGATATATCACATAAGCAAACTGAAGGACAAAAATCACAGGATCATGTCAATAGATGCACAGAAAGCATTCCACAAAAGCCAACACCTATTTTTGATGAAAACTCTCAGCAAAGTAGGAATAGATCATACCTCAACACAGTAACAGCCATATGTAACAAACTTATAGCCAACATCATACTCAATGTGCAAAAACTATCATTTCCCCTAAGAACAGGAACAAGTTAGGGATGTCTGCTTTCACCACGCCTTATTCAACATAGACTGGAAATCCTAGCCACAGTGATCAGACAAGAAGAAAACATAAAAGACATCCAAATTGGACCAGAGGAAGTAAAACTGTCATTAATTGCAGATGACATGATATTGTACATATAAACCCTAAACAATCCACCAGAAAACTACTATATTTAATAAATGAATTCAGCAATGTAGCAGAATACAAATTTAATACCCAGGAATTAATGACATTTAAATATATATATATATTTTATTGATTTTTACAGAAAGGAAGAGAGAAGAATAGAGAGTTAGAAACATCAGTGAGAGAGAAACATAGATCAGCTGTCTCTTACACACCCCCTATTGGGGATTGAGCCTGCAATCAAGGTACATGCCTCTGACCACAATCAAACCAGGACCTTTCAGTCCATGGGCCAATGCTCTGTCCACTGAGCCAAACTGATTAGGGCTCAATGGCATTTTTATACACCAATGATGTATTCTCAGAAAGAGAAACTAATAAAACAATACCATTTACATTAGAACAAAAAAAGATACTTAGGAATAAACTTAATCAAGGAGTTCTGTAGAATATTTGTACTCAGAAAACTATAGAGCATTGAAAAAAAGAAAGAAAGACATAAACAAGTGGAAGAATATACCAATTCATGGATTGGTAGAATTAACATTATTAAAATGTCCATACCACCCAAAGCAATCTATAGACTCATTGCAATCCCTATTAAAATACCAAGGGCATATTTCACAGATCTAGAACAAACTCTCCAAAAATTTATATGGAATAATAATAAAATAAAACCCCCACAAATAGTTTTAGCAATCTTGAGGAAGAAGAACAAAGTTGGAGAAATTACAATACCAGATATCAATATCAAATTATACTACAAAGCCACCATAATCAAAACAGCCCGATACTGGCAAAAGAATAGGCATATAGATGAATGGAACAGAAGAGATCCCAGAAATTAACCCAACCCTTTATGTTCTATTAATATTTGACAAAGTATGCAAGAGCATACAATGGAGTCAAGACAGTCTCTTTAATAAATAGTGCTGGGAAAATTAGACAGGTAGTGCAAAAAAATGAAACTAGTCCACACTAAAAATGGATAAAAACTTACATGTAACTCATGAAATCATAAAAATCCTAGAAGAAAACATAGACAGTAAAATCTCGGACATTTCTCATGGCACTATGTTTACTGATACATCTCCTAGACCTAGGGCAAAGGAAACTAAGAAGAAAATAAACAAATGGGACTGCATCAAAATAAAAACTTATGTACAGCAAAAGAAACTATTAAAAAATGAAAATAGAGCCCACTGTACAAGAGAATATATTTGATAATGAGACATCTGATAAAGGATTAATATCCAAAATATATTAGGGCCTCACACAATTTATCAAAAGGAAGACAATCCAATTTAAAAAAATGGGCAAACCTAAATAGACACTTCTTCAAAGTGAACATACAGCTGGCCAAGAGACATGAAAAAATGCTCAAAGTCACTAATCATCTGAGAGCTGCAAATTAAAACAAGGTATCACCTCACACCTGTCAGAATGTCTACCATCAACAAATCAACAAATGGCAAGTGCTGGTGAGGTTGTGGAGAAAAGGGAACACAGTACACTGCTGCTGGGAATGCAGACTGGTGCAGCCATTATGGAAAACAGTATGAAGTTTCCTCAAAATATTAAAAAATGGAACTGCCATTTAACCTAGTGATTCCACTTCTAGGAATATATCCCAAGAAACTTAAAAACCAATAGAAAAGAATATATATGTCCCTATGTTCATAGCAGAACAATTTACAATAGCTACAATTTGGAAACAGCCTGAGTGCCAAAAAAAAAAAAAAGCTGTGGGACATTTACACATTATGGCTGTAAAAAGAAGGAAGTCTTACCATTTTGCAACAGCATGCATGGACCTGGAGAGTATTATGCTAAGCGAAATAAGCCAGTCAGAGAAAGATAAGTATCACATGATCTCACTCATATGTGGAATCTAATGAACAAAATAAACTAATGAACAAAATAGATTCAGAGACATAGAAGCATGGAGCAGACTGGCAAATTTCAGAGGGAAGGCAGAGATAGGAGATTAACCAGGGAACTTATATGCATAAATGCATAACCCATGGACACAGACAACAGTGTGGTGAAGACCTGGAAGGGGTGGGTACGGGATTGAGGGAGTCAGTGGGACATCCATATACTTTCAGTAATATAGATGCATTAAAAAAACAAAAACAAACAGTACTGGACATGTCAAGATTTACAACAATATAATTTTATGAATTTAATTAAGAATGTATTATAATATAGTAATTTTCTTAATTTTTTTATTCAACACATATTTACTGAATACTTATTTAATCTGCATTAGGCATTGATATAGAAAAAAAATCCTACCCTTATGGTATTTAAAACTAAAATGCCACATTCAAATAATTATATTATTAAAATATGGAAAATAGAGAAAAAATTCACTAATGATAAACCACCTCAGCATTACCATTATTACAATTTTCAATATTTTTTCCAATCTCTTCCCCATAATTACATTTGTTTTATCTAGCTTCTTGACATACATACAATTTTATTTAAAACATGTCAGAGAAAAAAGTTGTTCATATTTTGAAAACTATTTTTTAACTTATCATTTAGTGTAATTTTTATGTTATTATAATTTGCATGTTTTTAAAAACGGTGTCAAGAAAAAGCATGTTGAGAGTGCTTCCTAAGGGTTGTATATAATTTTAAACTTTTGTGTAGAAGCTCTAGTAATTTCTTAAAATTCAATTATAGTCAATTGCTTTTTTTCTTATCCAATTATTGAATATAGTCTGAGGTTTAGCAGACAAATCAAACTATAATGCCCAAGAAAAAGAAATCCTGATTGACTAAGTGATTAACCAGTGATGGAATTATTAGATTACATTAATTATATTACAGTATATTTATTACATCTTCTAGTGGAGGCATCATGAGGTAACTACTTTGGTGATTTTATTCTTTTGTATACATTTTCAAAATGTCTAAACTTTGGATTTTCTATGCTCTGTTTGGTTTGTTGTATAGATAGTTTCTGTCCAGTTCATAGTACATTATAAAAGACAATTCAGCCAGGACCGGTTTGGCTCAATGGATAGAGCGTCGGCTTGGGGACTGAAGGGTCCCGGGTTCGATTCCGGTCAAGGGCATGTACCTTGGTTGCGGGCATATCCCCAGTAGGGGGTGTGCAAGAGGCAGCTGATCGATGACTCTCTCTCATCAATGTTTCTAACTCTCTATCTCTCTCCCTTCCTCTCTGTATAAAATCAATAAAATATATTTTAAAAAAAAAAAAAAAAAAAAAAAAAAAAAAAAAAAAAAAGACAATTCAAATGAAACTAATCTGAACTTCCTCTAGGTCCAATAAATATATTAAAAAGTCACACACAAAAATGCAAACATGTTACCTGTTTTCCCATTGTTATGAATGAATGTGTTTTCCAAAGATGTTTTATCCCAACCCTGAAATTTAAGTTTCTTAAGATTCACATTTACTTGTGTAATATCTTCATCAATATTGATAGGAGATTGTTTGGGGCTATTGCATGTTGGATATTTCTTTCCCCAATTTTTTTGATTCAGTGCTCCTAGGAAAAGAAAAGGGTAAGAAGTTAGTTTCATAAATTACCATGCAAAAGCTAAATTTTATATTATATCATGGATCCATTACATGAAAATATATATAATAGGAAGAAAATTCAGACATCTTTGAACCAATTCATAAAACAACTATGCCTAGAGTTAGATTCTGGATTTTAATATAATACACTATAAAAAAAAAAACAGGCCTCTGGATTTTAATATAATACACTATAAAAAAAAAACAGGCCTCTGGATTTTAATATAATACACTATTAAAAAACAAACAAACAACCTCATCAAGTACAGAGATCAACAGTCTTTCTTTAGCCACCACACTCTCTCCCAAATCAGCAGAAAGCCTGGTTGACATGTAAGTCCTAGCCCATGCTTGAGCAAGGCCAAGGTTTTCCATGATTGATGTTGAAGGAAATTATAAGTAAACAACCTGCATCCCCCCTGTACCTGCAGTCTATGCAATCTACTTCTTGTGATAAAACAGCGATTTTCAAACAGTGTGCTGCAAGAATTTTTTAAACATGCAATACCTGATTATTTAGTGAAGGGCTCTGACCTCTTTTTCCTAGATTATCAAATAAAAATATGACAACAGTCAACACAACAGTAGCTATCCGGTATGAATGCCCTGTCTTGAACCATAAATAATTAGGTCATATAATCTTATTGGTCACATCAACATCAATGATGAGAGAGAATCATTGGTCACCTGCCTCCTGCATACCCTCCTACTGGAGATTAAGCCCACCACCTGAGCATATGCCCTGATGAGGAATTGAACCATGACCTCCTGGTTCAGAGGTTGATGCTCAACCACTGAGCCATGCCAGCTGGGTATGATTCGTTAATTCTTGGTACCAGAAATCCTTTATAGGCACCTGAATTTTTAAAAAGTCACTTTGGAGAAAAAAAGGGTAGGTAATTACTATTATTTTTTTTTAAATCATTCAAAATTATACCTACTATTTTGTCAGATCAGCAAAATACATTTTTTGGGGTTTGCCCAAAAAGTTTTGTGACACACTTTTCAAAATTACTGTGAAAAAGAACTCAGTGTGGATGGACTTCCATGCAAGCTCTCGTAATGTGGCAAAACTAGCTTTGCATAATCCATTTTATATATAATTGTGCATTAAGTTATATTCCCATCAAATATAAGCATGTAAATATAAATATTAACATTATATAATACACTTATATGTGTAATCGTATACACCCATAATTTAGCTCAGGAAAAAAATAATAATCAGTCATACCATGAAACTGCCTATATAGCCAGGGGCGATTAGGTAATTCATCCCCTAATGAGGCATCTACCAAAATTGACAGATGCTAATTTTTTTTAAACCTAACTCTACTCCTAGAGAGCACTTGAGTATCAGATGCTTTAAGAATGCACCGTGATGCACATGTCAGCTTCCAGTAAGGAGTAATACTATGCTTATTTCACTGTAAAGAAAATTGGCATGAGGACATAAAACACTGCTCATGTTACCGTGTCAGAGCAAGAGGAGTAGAGAAAATGCAGCACAAACCAATAGGCCCTTTGTTTGCTTAAGTTTTTAATAGAGTGAAATAAATCCAAGACAGCTAGGACCAATCTTACAGTTGTGGTTCACAGAAACATACAAACTTACGTAAGCCTCTGGTACCAGTTCCTGTGATTTATAAACCTGCTATTTCCCATAGCAGTTCGTGATCATCTCTGTTTGGCTTCTTATTTGGTTTATTCAAATGGAACAACTGAAACCAGCTCCTCCTGTAATCTTTGTGGTCCCTTAAACTTGGAAGTCTTTCCTCCTCAGCAAGCCCTTTGGGTCTATCTTCAAAGCATATCCCTAATCAGACCGTTTCTCCTTTCCACTGTTACCACCTAGCCCAGCCCAGCCCACAGTCATCATTAGTCTGTCTTTCTCTTCCACAAGCAGCACTGCCATCACCTACGTCCTAGGAGATTGTTAAGAGAGGCAGGTCATAGCCTTACTAGGTCAGAATCTAATTTTAACACAAACCTCAGGAGATTCAGACACATTTTAAATTATGAGTCACAATAGGTTAGACATCTCTATTGCTTTCTCTCTGATTTCCACCCTTCTTCTCCTGTCCCGCCCACAAGTCTGTTCCCCAATTACATAGTTGGCAGGATTATGAAGTGGACCCCCAAATTCCCACACCCTGTAAGTCTAGGTACTAAAAGTGGCCTCTGGCTAATAATCAGCCAAAACAGACAAGCTGGTACCAATAAGGCAAATACTGCATGATTCCGCTTATTTGCAGCATATACAGTTGTCACACTCACATAGATAGGGAGCAGAATGGTGGTTACCAGGAAGTGGGGGAGGGGGAAGGATAAAGAGAAATTATTTCATGGGTACAGAGCTTCAAATCTGCAAGATAAAACATGTTTTAAAGATGTTTCACACTAATGTCAGTATACTTAACTAATGAACTGTGTACTCTTAAAAAAAATGGTTAAGAGGGTAAATTTTATACTGTGAAATTCCTACCACAGTAGGAAAATGATTAGGGTGGCAAAAACAAACAAAAATTGGGAACCTGAACCACAATCTTACAATGACAGGGAAGTGTACTCGGCCAACAACTTGCATGAGTTGGAAATAGGACTCTGCCCGGCAAAGGGCATCTTGATTTTAGATTTATGAAATGCTGAGCAGAGAATCCAGCTAAATGGCCTCTCCTCTTTGACTCTAGACCCATAGAAACTGTGAGATAACAAATACACATCGTAAGTTGTATTAATTTGTTGTGCAGTGTAAGAAAACCAATGCAACAAGTAGGGAAAGTAATATTTTAAAATATGTATCAGATTGCGTGTCATTCCTTGGCTTGGGTCCCTCAAATAACTTTTCATTTTGCACACAGTAAAATGTAAAGTAGCCGAAAGCGGTTTGGCTCAATGGATAGAGCGTCGGCTTGGGGACTGAAGGGACCTGGGTTCGATTCCGGTCAAGGGCATGTACCTTGGTTGCAGGCATATCCCCAGTAGGGGGTGTGCAAGAGGCAGCTGATTGATGACTCTCTCTCATTGATGTTTTAGCTCTCTATCTCTCTCCCTTTCTCTCTGTACAAAATCAATAAAATATATTTTTTAAAAAATGTAAAGTAACGTATTACCATGACGGAAGGATGCCACCTGATATCACCACTTCCATCCTCCCCAATCTCATTTCCCATTGCGCTGTGGTGCCGGCTCTACACTAGCCACCCTGGCTTTTCTGTTCCTAGGCCATGGGCAGCCCCAGGACCCAGCACTTGCTGAAAAGCTGTGCCAGGCTCTCTCTCGTTCTCTCTTGCTTCAAAGAGGTCCCTGCAGGCTTTCTCTGAACGTCCTGTATAAAACACACTTCCTTGCCCTGGTCATTCCTGATTCCCTCACTTTAGTTCATTTTGTTCTCCTTAGATATTAATTATGTGTATTTGTTGCTATACCCTAGAACCTGGGGGGGAAAAAGCCCTGGCATATAGCCTAGGTGTTCAATAAACATTTGTTGAATGATTGAATCAGACAAATAAAAGATGATGATGTCTTTTGTTATATGAGTTTGAGCTCATAGGGATCTATCATAAAATGGCAACAGGAAGGAAAAAAAAGAAAACCATTTCTGACCTCAACAGTAGGTCACATTTTACTGTTTGCCATATGAGGGATTTGTTGGGTAGTCCCTACTTAACTTCTACTGAAGGCTATCAAGAAAGTCATGATGTCCAACCTAAATGTAGTCTGACATTTTATAGCACAGTGATCCCGAGTGACAAGGTTAGGTTTGAAGTAAATCAAACAGTTACACTGAGTGTGAACCTAGTTCAAAACATCAAATAGAGCATGGGGTCAAGTACAGGGTCAAGAAGCCTCCTTAACATTTGTGACTAAGAGAAAATAAAAGAGGCAGAGTAGGGAAAATAATTTTATGGAAAGATTGTAAAAGAGAAAAGGTCCCATAAAAAGAAAAACACATTTAAAAAGCTATAAAACAACAAAAGCCCACTGATGTTTTTTTTTTTTGCAAAGGACTCTGGAAATTGGGTTCTTTCAAATTGTCCTAAGAACAAAACCAAGGGAAGTAAAATAATGTGTTAAAATTATACACACAGATGAAACATAGGTCAAAGAAGCATTAAATGTATTTTACCTGACTTTAATAATGAAATATTAGATTCATGTTATACTTAAACATTTTAAAAACTCCCAAAATTAACATTGTTCATGTCACAATTGGAGAGCTCAGTCCACATTGTGGTTAGAGCCATGATGATGTGCCTGAGAAAGCAGGTGCACAGAATTCATTAGAACGACACCCACTGCATTATTAGTGAATGTGGTGAAGAAGAAATTAGGTGAGTCCCTATAGTTGCAACACAAAATCATCAGGCTGATTACCCACAAGGAGGACTGTAGAGGACTAAATGTCAGCTCTAGAAAATTAAAATAAATTATTCATTCACATTGACATCCATTCTTTCATCCAATTATTGACTTACCTGGATTAGTACCACTCCCATAATTTCCTGTGGTTATCTCTACAGGAGCATGTGAGAGACTGTATTTTGTTAACTTAGTTACCTACTGCATGTGTTTCTTTTTAAAAAATGTATTTTACTGATTTTTTACAGAGAAGAAGGGAGAAGGGAAGAGAGTTAGAAACATCGATGAGAGAGAAACATCAATTAGCTGCTTCCTGCACACCCCCTACTAGGGGTGTACCTGCAACCAAGGTACATGCCCTGTGACAGAAAAGTGCAGGCAATGCTCAGAGAGAAGTGAGCAGCCCAGCTTGGTCCATGAACAAAGAGTGGCTGCCAAGGACCTCCAGATGGAGGTGGAAGAGCAGACTGCGTGGGCCAGGGGAGGCACGGAGACCTTGGAAGAGTAAAAGAGTTCACAACAGTCCTAGGAGAGAAATGAAGCGGGCGAGACTGCAGAATAGGCAGAGAAAGCGAGGCTGTATAAATAGCAGACATTTCACAGGCA